TTTCAGAATGGCAAAACCTGAACAGTTTGACAAATTAGACAGCAAATAACTCTGTAAGGATATATTGTTTTGAAACATTTTTTGATAATTTGCATGAACTGGGGACAGAAGGAATTCTATGATATGGCCTTACTTAGCTTTGAGGTAATTCTAATATGGTAATTGGAACCAAGAGGTAATTTCCTCAGTTGATGTTTTAACTGGGCCAAGAGTCTGACTTCCCCCAAATCAAAAGTTCAGGATGTAGTAATAAGAAGTTTTTAAAAACTCTGAGTTCTACACTGGAATGCTGATTCAAGAATGCTAATTGAAATCTGTAAAACTGTGGTTGAATTGGATGCAGGCTTATTCATTAAATTCTGAGACTTCACAAACTAGAGGAAAACATATGATAAAATTAGACATACTTCTTATGTGAGATATTAATGTACTGAGTTTGTGTCCATGGGCTGAATTTAAATGTACTTAGGAGTTCGCATGAATTCTTGCATGACTGATTAAATATATACTAAAGGAAATGAAAATTTGGGGGGGAATAGTCTCCATCTTCCTAGGAGTGACGATGATGATCACTATCAAGGGTGACGGTGATGATCATCTATCCCATAATGCTCTCTGTGGCACTGAATGTTAGACTAGAGGAAACATTAGGCAGTTTTCAGGTCTTCACATTTCCAGAGATGGCCAATATGGGTAGTTAGTGAAACTGTTGAAGTAAAGGCTTTGATTAATAGTTGAAGGCATACTTATATAGGCTGCAGCTGGGAAGTACTGTCAGGCACCTAAATATAATTTTCTCAGACTTTCTGGGTGAGAGTCTGGAGCACATATTTGGAAGAGGTTATGAGAGGGAAAAGTGATGAATGCAGAATGTTGTGGTTAATTAATGAGGCATAAAATTGGAAAGAGATATTAACTTGTCAAGGAGAAGATGAAAAGACAAAAGGATAGATTTTGCCAAGAACAGCCAGGGTGTGTGTATCAGAGAAGGGGAAGCAGATGGCAGGTGACACAGGTCACAGGTCGGGAGGATGGTAAAGAGCTACCTCGTTGGAGCTGATGTTCATGAAGGCACTGTGAAGTTCTGAAGTATGTCTCTCCCAGTGTGTGAACACAGGGCTGTGAACGAGTAGGGGATATATTGGAGAATGGTCACCATCCAAAAAATGTTCAAAGAATTCAAAACAGGAGAAAAGGAACAAGTTGAAGGGCAAATGCAAAGCAATGTTAGAATGGAAAACCACAGAAGCCAGTGGGAAACAAATACAGATTGAGCAGATAGGAATTTCTGATACAGCTCTTTTGATGACTCTGTGAACTCAGACTTTGAGTACAGTGCCATGAACTTCTCTGTTAAAATGTATGTTAACTGTGAAAGAATGAATTAACATCTGCAACTGATACACCCATCACTCTCACCTCTGATGTGAGACTTCCACTTTTTTACTTTATTAATTCCTATATCATTTGAGGTTTTTATAAACATATGTTACTTGTGTAATAAGATGAAACTAGAAAAATTCTATTGGAACAGGGGTAGTTTTGATAAAAGAAAAAAGTTTTGAAATGTCCTAAACTTAATGATAAAAGCCAGAGGGTGGAGGGCAAAAGAAGTCAGGAAAGTTAACCAGCTAACAGCTTGGGGAAAAACCAGGAAAAAAAAAGAAAGAAAGAAAGAAAAAGAAAAAAGGACAATAATGTTGAAATCTTGAGTGAAATCCAAACATAGTGAGCAACAGGGTCACCACACTTTGTTTGCTTATAACTTTTGGGACTGTTAACTTCAACCAATCTAGACACAACAGTTATTCTCTTCATGACTTCCCTCCTACCCAAAAAGCTTTCCTGCTCAAGATTATCCCACCTCTTTGATCTATAAGTCAATGTAATTCACAGTGCTTGCCTACCCCAAAGTTTTTTTTACCAAGAAAAAATTACCCCAAGAATTTTAAAGTATTCTTGGCTCTGATCTGCTTCACAACTTTGCTATTGATAGTTGTGGCAACCTGTCCCAAGATCCAGTCCTTTCCTTTTCTGGGTAGCATCTATGAATGGCTCAATAAATGCTTGGTTCCTTGGTCCTTAGAGTTTGAGTTTCATGGCTTCCATCAATATGTTATCTATACCTCAAAATAACTATTAAGAAGATATAAAATGGACTTACAAATTGAGTTATACAAAAGAATTATATTAACAGGGACTTTACAAGTAAAATTATATTTTAAAAGTATGGCTCCACTGTTGCCCACAAAACCACAAACAAATACATCTATGAGGATGTATTAAGGTTTGGAGGCCTCGACAACTGCTGTGATCAAGGCGAGCAGGTAGGGGGCGCTGGAACTCCAAGGCCCAATCCTGTTTACCACTAGTGATTTGTTATCTTAAAGACCACATGATTGAAATTCCTGAAATCTGTCCATGGAATTTTCTGGAAATCCTTCATTTAGTCTAGCTCAATAGTCCTTAAATTTAGTATATGTAAAAATTACCTTACTAGGCAGCACACACAGAACCATGCATCCTATACTTTATGGGTGATTAAAAAGATTTTCAGTTATAATTTTGTGCCTAACTTTTGTCTTACTTGCTAATTTTACAACCACATGTAATAGGAACTTTGGCTCTGAAAGAGTGAACAGTCAGAAACATAAAAGAATCACCTGTGCCACCCAAAGAAAGAACTAGAAAACTTACTGGGATCCAAATACCTTATCAATCTTCCCAAAGTGGTATATAATAAACGTTCAGTGGGCGTTAAGCCTGATCAGAAACCCCACAAAAGCACAGAGAAGAGATTAATAGTTGTTACCACACCCTGACAGGATTTTCATCTATTCTTCTGAAGGCAGCTCTAAGAGGTTACCTGAGAGACTTCATCTGCAGAATAAGACAACCTTTATTAGTAGTGAAGTGCCCCTCACCTTTCTTGAGCCTCAGACTTGAGGAAGAGGGGAAGTCAGGGTTTCCCGGGGTTAGTTGTGCAAATTGTGGCCCTGTACACACACACACACACACACACAAGGGATGTGTCCAGCTGACGGAGAAGGGGCAGGAGCTTTCTGAGCCCTTGTGTGGGCAGAGTCTGTGTGTGGGGTGGGGGTTGGAGCAGGGGCTGCCTGTTCCCCAACACGCTCAAAGGCAATATACAGGTCAGTGGGGGGCTGGGAGGATGTCTTCTGCACACATTAAACTTCAAAAAGGTTAAAGGTCAGATATTTAGACAAAATATACCAGTTTCATAATGGCTAACATTTTAATATTGATAATATTTTAAGATGGATAATTTTAAGGTGGATAATATTTTAAGATGATAACTCATATTTTCTGGACCCCGAATGCTAGTTTCCTTTTCTGTCCCTCCTAGAGAGGGGTAGGCCATATGTCAGCTGTACTTAGCTCTTCGAGATTTCTATAATTAAGGTAAGAAATGGAGCAGGGCAGGAAACCAAAGGTGACCATGAATTATTCCAGCTTTTGTTCTACAAAAAGTCTAAGTGCTTAGGGGAAGCAGATTTGCAGAGATTTGCAGGTTTACATGAAATGTCTTGGTGGACAAAGGAGAAGCAAGTGATTTCCTTGGCTGAGGAGAGGAGCGACAGGGCAGATGGGGACCTCAGAATAAAAAAATAGCATAAATAGCATCAAATTAAAAACAAGTTTATCTGAATTTTATAAATTCTGAGATTTATATTCTACCACTGTCTTCAAGCGAATATATCAAAAGGGCTGTCTCAGAGTCATGGTTCTTGACAACTGCACGCCAGGCACTTTGTTCACACCTATTCTCTCTAGTAATCCTCACAACAACACTGCAAAGCAGATGCTGCTATCACATTTTATAAGTGAAACAACAGGGATCAAGGACACAACTAGTCAGTAGAAGGACGAGGGGTGCAAAGCCACGTTTGCTTTTTTTCCTGCACTGTAGACCAGTTATCAGTGACATGTACCTAAACTCAGAGACAAAGGGAATACACTGAGGTTCTCAGAAGGTTCACAACAAAAGAGCTCAGTCCTGTATAGTATTGAGTCTATCTCATTCCATGAGTAGATATCTCATTGATATGCTCAGCAGAGTATGTAGATAATACTGACCCCCAGAGGAAAAGCCCACTCCTCACTGAACCAAAAGGAGGGGTTCATGGGCAAAGACTAGAAGTTCCTAAGTCTGAAGAGAATGTGAAAGCAATCTGTCACAAGACTTAAAGAATCCTGCTCAGACAATAAGACCCTTATGCCTGTGCCAGAGTTCAGAGGCCTTTCTTCAAGAATGTCAGATATTTTGTGTATTCAATGGTAAATTTAGGCTAAAACAAAACTAAACAAGGGGTTGGGGATGTGGCTCACATAAAAATAAAACAAAGATGTTGTGTCCACCAAAAAATTAAAAAATAAATATTAAAAAAATAATAAAAATACTAAACAAAAAGCCTGTGGGCATGAAGGCATTTTGACCAGCCTATATAATTTCCATCCATCCAATTCACCCAGGCACTCCCCCCAGGTCTATAACACTCCTGTGGCCTATCTACATGCCATTAGGCTAGAAACAAACTCTCTCTCTCTCTCTCTCTCTCTCTCTCTCTCTCTCTCTCTCTTTCTCTCTCTCTCTCTCTCTCTCTCTCTCTCACACACACACACACACACAATATCTCTCTCTCTTCTCTCTCTCTCTCTCACACACACACAATCTCTCTCTCTCTCTCACACACACACACAATATCTCTCTCTCTCTTCTCTCTCTCTCTCTCACACACACACACAATCTCTCTCTCTCTCTCTCTCTCTCTCTCTCTCACACACACACACACACACACACACACACACACACACCAATCAATTCCCAAATCCCCTCCCAAGTTTGAGCCCCAAACAGACAAGCTAGCATTTATTTTAAAAAGCTGCCTTACTTTTCCAAAGACTCTGTTCCTGACTTAAAGATTTCTAATCAAGGTATTGGTTATATGAGTAAGCTCCGATTCACAGGACCAGGTTACCTGGTTAGGATCAGGACCAACTTCATCCCAGTTGTGAGTGACATGGCCTTGGTCAATGGATTCAAAGGGCTTGTGAGAAACTGAAGGTAGAATCCTGTACAGCCAGCTAGGGAGAAACAAGAACACAAAGCCTCAGGGTAATGTTCTGAGTGACACAGAGACTGGCTCAGGAAGTGCCATCAGGAAGACCGTCAAATCAACAACCATCTATGGCTTTAATGTGAGAAGCAATGACAGCATTATTTCTTTTTTTATATATTTATTTTTAATTGTGGATGGTCACAATACCTTTATTAATTAATTAATTTATATTTATGTGGTGCTGAGGATCAAACCCGTTGCCTCCCATGTGCTAGGCAAGCACTCTACCACTGAGCTACAGCCCCAGCCCAGCATTACTTCTTAATAACCATTTGCTGTCTGGAGCTCTGGCCCCTTCTCTATTTTACACTATATCATTTTTGGGATTGAGCTCCAGCTCCTAGATATTCCCATGCTGCCAAAAAATAAAGGACTCTCTTTCCCTCCCACCAGCTGTAAGAAGTACCTTAAGGGATATCAGTGCAGGGAAATCCATAGAAAAACCTTAGCTTATTATACCTCAAGGTGCTAATCCTTGCTCTCAAAGGCCAGGGAAGTGAATTCTATGTAGACTGAGAGAATATGGGTGTTATCTTTGTTATATAAATCTGTCTTTTTCTTTTAAAAATTATAGAAGTGATACATGGAGATGGGAAAAATAATTCAAGTAATTAAAAAAGTTGTGAAAGGCAAATGGTACCTTCTCTTCTACTTTCTTCATAGCTATTTCTTAGAGGCATCAGAGCTTAATGGGTTTCTTACATATTCTCTTAGATAATTCAAATGTGTATATAAGGAAAATTGTCAAATCATTTTACCACTTTACTCTCATACCAAGAATACATTAGAGGGGCTGATCATCCCCATCTTCCCTAAGATTATTTTCATCCTGAATGAGTAAACATTAGGGTTAGAATTAGGCTGAATATAAAGGTTTTTACATATTAGGTGCAGGAATTATTTTTATAAAAATTAGTAGAAGTTATTATAGAAAATAAAATAATAAGAAATGATATTATAATAAAAGAGGAGAATAGTAAATTATTTTTATTTGGAGCTATACCAGTTTTGTGGTTCCTAAGACCAACAGATCCTTTAAAGATCAAGAAAACCATATTATTAGATATGGAGGCATGAATTGGCAGTTCTTGCATACTTTCTCAGTAAATGAGCTTTAATCTTCTATTAAATCTTTCTATTATGAAATATCTTTAATATTAGTCTTGTAATGAAAAAATAGTCTCTTATTTTATATTTCCTTTATTATGAGTAAGGTTGAGAATCTGTTCATTTATTAGCACTTTGTAATTTTTCTATGAATTATCTGTTCAAGTCCTGTACTGTTTTCAGTTGGGTTATTTGTCTTTTTGACATTAATCTGAAGAGGTTTTTAAATCAATACTTCTGTACTCCAAAAAATGTTAGAGTACACGTCCATGTTTTATTTCAGTATACTTATAGTTTGTTGGTTTTTTTGTTTTCTTTCTTTTTTCCTCTTCACTTCCACTCTCTGTATGTGTTAAGGCCTGGGCTAATGTTCTGTCCACCAGGACCAGATCTCAGGCTTCAGGAAGGAAAGAAGAGTCTGATGAAAGAAATCTGAAAAACATCAGGAGGAGAACCTTCCAGAAGTTGAGTGAGACACTGAAACTCACTACAAGGGACCAAAGTCTTTCCAAAGACCATTACCCTGATGGGGTACAGAAGGAGGCAGGACCCTACTTCAGACAATGGAAGAAGAGATCTGCTTAAAAACCTTTGATCCTTTAAACCCAAGGAAAGTCTGCTTCAGGGCATGGGGGTAATTAATCTGGCCTGGCCCAATACTGAACCATCCAGGAGATAACTGGCTGACTTTGTTCTTCCATCTGATTCCTCCAACTCTTGAGGATGTGACCTCAGACCTTGGACCCACTAAACCTCTCCAACACCCAGTGGTATATGGGGTTGAAGGAATGTATGTGTATCTTGGAACCAGCTGTGTGATTCAGGGCAAGTTACTAAACTTCCCAGACCCTATGTTCCTCATCCTTATCTCCTAGGATTGTTGTGAGGACTAAAACAATTCATGTGTCGGAAATGACTGGCACGTATTAGGTGATCCTTTATTAGACGCTTTTGAACATTTTCACAAAATTCTTGAGGATATCCTTAGAGAGTTCTAAATAGATGAGCCATGCCTAGTGCCCCTTATTTATTTATTTATTTATTTATTTATTTATTTATTTATTTATATCTGAGTTTATAAAACTCCCCAGGCACCTCTATGTTGCCCTGGACAGAGATTTAATTCTGACGCAGGGAACTTTGCCAGCTTCTAAATGAAATGCCAACAACTCCTTTTCAGCCTCCTGGAACACAACTCAGCTCCTGCTGGCTGAAGATATTGCTGAATAATGGGGGCAGGCAGCAGAATCTGGAGACCAGGTGGCCTGTTAGTGGATGGGCCATAAAGTCAAGAACATAGTCACGAGGCCAGGTTGTCATAAATTAGAATGGATAGAAATTGCCTGTGTGCTTACCTTTATCCTATCCATTTGGGTTTGCAGAAGGAGAAATAATTAAATGCAATAGAATTTACCTCTGATTTTTAATATATATGAGAAACTATCTTCCCCTGTTCTTCCATGCACACATCTATCAAGAGAAACCAATATTGATACACATTTACTGCCTCCTGATACTGACCTTATACTATAGCACCTGCCATATCTTGTGCTTCAGCTCTCTAAAATACTCTGGAAATACTTCTAGAAATATTTCTAGAAATACTCTGGGATGGAAACAGAAGCTCTTCTATGGTGTCAATAATGATGATGATTTTATAATAACTCATGTTAATTCAGCACTAACCATGTGCCAGGAAATATGCTAAGCACTTTACACATATTCTTTCCACAACATCCTCACTAAAACTCTGAAATAGGTCCTGTAATTATCTCTGTTTTACAAATGAAGATCTAGAGGTTCTGAGAAGGCAGATGATTTGCCCATGGTCACCCAACTGAAGAAGAAGGAGCGTGGATTTAAAGTCAGGGGCCTGATTCCAGAGTGGGTAAGACTAACCACCAATGGAAACAATAGTTATCATTGGTGTGGTCCTTTGTGTTTTTGTATTCACCATCTTACTGACTTCTCAGGAGGACCCTGTAGAGATAAACCCACCTCCTCCTTCTAAGCAGTATGATACCACCTGTCCTCTTCCCCAGATCTCCAAGGTCAGCAGCAGCCCTCTTCACAGATGCCTTAACCATAAAGTCCAATGATTAGATACTACTTATTTAAATCACGACACTTACAGCCTCCTCAATCTACCTCATCTACGGCAACCAGCCTGCCCCAGAGGAGTTAATCAAGAGAGGAAGTTCATTGGCTTGGCTTACAGGAATAGAGCAAGCAAGAATGTGACCTTCTGTGCTAATGAATGTGCTGCTTTCTAGGAAAGTCAAATTCCAAAGAGCAAAAACCTTACTAGTTCAAAGCAGAAGGGGCCACAATACATGAATTTTTCAACTACTCAGGTTTTGCTTATCCAACATTTTCATGCAAAGAATGTAATGTTTTTGGTCAGCTGAGAAAGACACTGCTCTGAATCTTCTATAATTGTGATTTAATCATATGCAAAAATCAAAAAATAAGTAAATCAAAAAACAAAACTCAACTGAACAATCCTTAGAAGAAGACCAGAGTATTAGACATATTTTATTTTAAAAGAAGAAAAACACACTTCCTTCTGAGTACTGGTGAGAATTTGTAAGTGGAACTGGACTTGGGTTTTCTGTGTAGTTTGTTCCCTCACCATCTCCCACCAGTCACTTGATTCCAACTGGGAACAAGGCCCATTCCCCTCTACCTGTAACCCAGCACAGCCTAAAAGAAGAAGGATCCATGACCCTGGTAGGGGAGGTGGCACAAGGTCCTGGTCATAGTTCCCACTGTCTGCAGGTCAGAATTCATCTCATCCTCGTACCTTCTCTTATTGGTGCTCCGGGGACAAGTGAAAGCTGATCCTGAGAGCTGCTCAGCGTACAGATTGTAGGGGCAGACTTGAGGATTATTCTAAAACCAAAAGAGGCAATAAACAATGTCATTCAAATCCAAAAAGCATCCCCCTAAACCTTTCCACCAACCAGTTCAGTGGGGGAATCCTTCCTGAATGGGGAGACTCTGGGCGACTGCACATGACCACCCCAAGTCATTAATATTTCTTGTAATACCTTTTTATGTAAATGTCCCCCTGATTATAAAAGTAATATATGCTTATTGTAGAAAATTTATTAAATATGAAATCTAAAATCACCCATTATCTCACCAATCAGAAATAACCAATGTTAATCTGTAAGTGTATTTCTTTTCATTCTTATCCTCCAAAAATGAGGATCTTATGATACCTGTAACTGTGATAATCAGGACTTGCTTTTATTTTTTTAAGGAAATAATATATCAAAAGCATTTTGTGTGTGTGTGTGTGTGTGCCATGAAATATTCTCCAAAAAGTTTTGAGAGAATTTTGTTTACTGTAGTTTTGCAATTATAACCAACACTGGTACAAACGTCTTTGTACATATATTTCTAAAATAACTTATTTTCTCATCATTGTCATATCTTCTGCTGTTCAAAGGAACTAGAAGAAAAGACCCCTACCCCTGGATGTTGGGGTTTCTCCTGGAAATCCTACAGCTAATTTTACTAGTTTGAGTTGGGTACTTTGCCATAGGTAATAACCAGCAGTCCCCAAGTTGAATTTTTGTATTGTCATTGTTCTATATTCCATTTTTCCTAATAATTTGTGAAGCTTCCAAACAGTTTACCTGCTAGATTAGAAGAACTTTGTTGGGTGGAGGCCTTTTGGCCTGAGGGATGGTCATCCAAGCCCATGAGTTAGTATTCTCTAAGAATTTTATTCACTCATACCTGTCCTTCAGGCAAGGAACCTGGACATCGAGGGTCCTCTGAAGCACATTCATTCCCAAATCCAGAAATGTACTGCATGTAACAGAGACATAAATGCCACCATTATTGGCATATAAAGAACATTTCCCAACACTGACTGACTACAAAGGTAAGAATTTCTGCATGGTCACATGTTTGAGTATGATGTTCCAGACACAATATCTTTGCTATGTCTTGACATGTAAATCATTTAGGAAAGACTATGTATTTTGTATAAATTTTAAAGACTTCTATTTAATCAATACCCTTAGTGGTACTTGGTTGATTATGGGCTTATTTTTGCTTATCTCATCTCAAGAATAAGCTCTTTAATTCTAGTTCCATCTGGAAGTTCTTGGGAGGAAGATGGTTTAAGTCCAGATTAGAAGGATCTTGCTGGGCCTAGATTGCAATCTCCCTAAGCTTGGGAATCCATTCTCCCTCCATATCCTAGAAAAAAAAAAAGAAACTGGGAAAATGTATGTGCATCTAAAATCACAGCAAAATCTTTGCCAGAAAGCTCTCTCCAAACTAGCCTTGCTGCAGGCAGAAACCTACGTTATCTGGCTCATCTATGGAGCACATGTGTATTTATACTTATATCTGTGAGGATATGTGAAAATGAAGTTGAAAGGTAGGGGTGGCTTTCAGGAGATGTCTCAGCCCATAATTTTTCACAATGGCACAATGGAGCCTATTGTGATTGACATCTCTTAACTTTATACCCAGAAGGGAAAAGTTTAAGAGATTTCTCAATAAAGCAGATCATGGGGGATCCCTTGAAATTTACCCTCCCCCCTCCCATGGTAAATACTGCCTTATTGATCATAGTTAGTAAATGTCAATAAATATTGATTCCCAAGGCCATAGAGAGTGAAACTGAACCAAGTGTACTAGGATGACTGAAGTCACAAGCCTCTTATGAAATGAGTCCACAGTCAGCTGACATGGCACATGCTATTCTACCAGCTGTAAGAACCACAGTGGCTCTATACAGGAAAGTATCAGCTCTTCCTCGCCCTTTGGATGTACTACAATTCCATTATCCTTCTAAAACAGCTTTTGTTTCTATGGAACTTTATTTTCAAAATGCCTGCAGCATTTATGGTCCTCTGGGCAATCTGATGAAGAAACAACAGATTTGTAGCATCTTGGTTCCTTACTGCCACCATCCAAGACCTGAGATTGACTCTTGCAGTATTTAACACACCTGTGAGTTTTGTCACAGGTCTGTCACTGGCTTCCTTGTTCTGTTATAAATTTCATGAAAGCTGGGACTATGGCAGTCTTGTTCTCTATGTACCCTGTGCCCTGAACCATGGAAGGTATTCAATAGCTGTCTGTGGATTGATTTAGTTTTTCACTTATAGCCAGCTTCTACTATGAGTGCATATAGGGTTTGCTAAGTGGGGTTAGAGCCTCCTTTGCTCTAACTTAAACACCAATTGATTTTAGTTCAGGATAAGCAAAGTGCAGCCTCGCTGGGTGAGTGAAATGCCACCATCTGAGCACATTTCTTTAGAAGATATAAGAAGGATGGATGTGGGTGGAGGGTAGGCCCTCCAGAGTTCTTGGCAGCTCGGGGAAGGATGAGCTAGATGTAACATGCCTGGATGTGTGAGCGATGATCAGGCCAACAGTGTCTATATTTAGAAGGAATATTGAATGTGAAATGTTATGACCTAGAAAGCAATGAAAGTGAAATTATTCTTTTGCTTTCAGACACAGTTTTTGGGGTGGGGGGTGCTGAAGATTGAACCCGGCATCACATATGTTAAGCATGTGCTCTACCACTGAGTTATGTCTCCAGCCCCCGCAAATTTTTTGTATATTTGAAAATTCATCATCACACAAAAACCCCACCAAGTTATAATCAGATTTGTTCCCAGCAGCACTGTGCTGTTTGGAATGGTATTTTGGAGGAAAGTGGCAGAGATCATCCAACATTTTCATTCTCTACAGTGAAGCTGGCCAGAGACTCCCACCCAGAAGACCCTTACCCTAATTAAGCAGAAACCCCTACTATATTTGTAATATATAAGTTCCTCTTCAGAACGTTTTCTATCAGCGAAAACTTCTCCGTGCAGAAGGGTATGGGGGTCGGTAGTTTTCTCATTTTTGGCAAATGCACGGTTTGCAGGAAAAAAAAAAAAAGCTCGTGAAACCTGTCTGCAGAATAGAACAAAACACGCTCGTTATATGAACCTCCCAGCACCCCCCACTACTGGGTATAAAGTTCTAAGAATTTCTGTACACATTGTTCAGTAGAAGAATTCTTAGGCAAGAGCCACCTCTGATGAACCCTGCAGTCAATAAACCTGCTTCCTGAAAATTCCTCAGGTGTCCAGCCTCTTTGTCCTACTTCAACAGAATACAGTTTTCTTTTCTCAAAATGAACCTCATGCTCACCATCAACAGGGATTGAATTTGAGTTGCTGAGAATTGGTAATGACCCCAAATTATCTTCAATTCTGTGAAATCGAATTTTTGCCCAGCTTGTAACTGAAGCCACTGAGTATGACAGTGCCTTCTCTTTGTTCAGCTGCTGCATTGTTTCTCTCTGCAAGGAGAAAGGAAGGTTCCAGAGCTGCCCAGTACAGCTGAGCTTTCTGGCAGGCATGAGTGGATTTACTTATTAACCTTTCCCATTCTTTGCAACTGTTGGCCTCAGAACAGAGGTTATATGTGTGTTCGGAACAAGGAAAAAGAGAGTTAGTGTATGTGATTCTGAAGCATTTGATTCAGGCTGTGCTTTAGAAAATAGAAAAGAAAGCGGAAAGAACAGCTGGTGGTTTGGAAGGGAGCCACCCCAGTGCTGAGAGAGGTGTGAGTTCTGAATCCCTTTCTCCAGTTTAGCTGCAGTGCATTGGCCCAAGAGGAGGTGGAAATTGCTGAGTCACTATTGACTCCTTTGGTTTTCTTAATCCTCGAGAGCAAAGTTACGGATGAGTTTATTAGAGTTTTAAAATGCCATCTCCCTCACTGCTGAAAGCTTCTGAATTGGGGAAACTGCATTTTGCAGCTGCTTTCTCAAGGCTCTGAGCTCAAGGACAGAATCTGAACTCTGCTTTTATCAGCCCTGAAAATCCAAGCATTCGACTCCAGCTGGTTCAGTGATTATGTAAAAATTACCTTATAGGAAAATGTAGCAAAATAAAAATCTGACATTAAGCAAATGTGTTTGTATGTTTGCTTCGTTTCAGATTTCAGAATAATTTGATTCAACATAAAAATATGATTTTCTTTCCAAGAGAATTTTATGTACATTTTCTAACTAAAGAATAAATTACTAAGCTCCATGTGACTTCAGTACCTTCAGTTCTTTGGCAGCTCACTAGTATACAGCTTTTTAATTCTCACCTGGTCCCCAGGATATGATTTACTGGTCAGAATAATTTTATGAGGTGCTTTCTTCTGAGTCAGATTCTAAGTACTACCTAATGGGACTAGCAAATGGTATATACCTCACTTCCTTTTACTGGTCATGAAGTAAAGTGAGAGAAGCCAGGGTAAAGATGGAACTACCATTACCTTTTTTACCTATGCAAAGAAGGAATCTGGTATTTCTGGCTAACATTAATTGTTAGGTCAACTTGCAGATATTGCTGTAGGTTGAGTAATGGACCTGAAATGTCTTAATCCCTGGAATTTAAGAGTATTACATTATGTAGTGAAAGAGAATTTTGCAGATATGACTAAGTAAAGGATCTTGGAGTGGGGCAATTCCTGTTTATTTGGGTGCACCCTAAATGTAATCATAAATATCATTTTGATACAGAGAAAGAGGGAGATTTGATTGCAAAAGATGATCTAAGTAGAGATCTGAGCAATGAACTTTGAAGAGAGAGGAAGTGGCCACAAACCAAGGTATGGAAACTGGAAGCTGATGGGACCAGGGAAACAGATTCTTGTGTAGAGTTTCCAAAAGAAAACTTCCAAGTTGACACCTTGACTTTAGTCCAGTGCAACTAATTTCAGACTTTTTAAGGCAGGAGTATAGGGTTAAAGTTTAAGCTGGTTGTGCATGCCTGTAATCCCAGTGGCTCAAGAGGCTGAAGCAGGAGGATTGCAAATTCTAAGCCAGCCTCAGCAATGTAGTGAGGCCCTAAGTAACTTAGTGAAACCCATCTCAAAATTAAAAAATAAAACTAAAAAGGGCTGGAGATATGACTCAGTAAGTAGTTAAGTGCCTCCAGAGGTAGGCAATCAATCTCTGGTTTAAAAAAAAAAAATTAAGCTGGTGTTAGGAAGGGACTATATGCTTTATGCTTAAGATGAATAGGAAAAAGCCTCCCAACTACATTGGTTGTTTAAAATAAATAACAAGAAAATATCAAACTCATGCAAGCAGATCTGACCAAGCCCTTGACTGAAAGTAACCAGGAACCTCATTTAAATGCATTTCCATATTAAAGACATGCTCAGGAGGGAGACCTAACACAATTTTAGACACAATTTTGACCATGTGCCAAATGGTGCAGGCACAGTAAGAGATTGCAATGTAATCATGAATATTGTTATGTAACCTACAAATATGCAAATTCCTGATCCACAACTATATAAATATGTTGTTTGCCTTTTGACTTTCTTGCCATTCTGTCTATGGAATGGTCACTGCTGCCTGGCTACTCTGTTTATGGGGCTGCCACCTTTCTAAATTAATCAATGCAATAAATGATTCTTTCTAACCCTCTCTTTATTAGCCATGTTTGATTTCTGTCTTGAATGAACTGATTGACCTGCTGAGCTGGTGACATTCTGACCTCCAGAACTGTAAGAGAATAAATTTGAGCTGTTTTAAGCCATAATACTGTGGTAACTTATGACTGCAGCAAAAGGAAACTAATTATGTAAGCCAATGTGTCCCCTCTCTAGCTAATCATTACAAGTCTTTTCAGAAATGTGATCAATATAAATTCAAAGCTAGGGAATCAAGTATCGGTGATGGGCTCCAATGTCTGCATGTAAAATCACTTCTTCATTTTAGAAATGAAGAATCCAAAGCCTGGAGAATGAAGCAACTTAAGACTGTGGGACAGTTCACTTTTAGATTTAATTTTATTATTTTATCTTTTTACTTTTCTTCCCCTAGCTGTGCTTTAATGGAGATGTGATTTCATTTGAGGTTTTATGTTGATATATCCATTAAAATGAAGGAAAAAAAAAGACGAGAAACCTTTCTAAAGTTATGTAATGCTTATTGATTAGAATGTGCATGATGCAATCTGACTTTCTGCATTTAGATTTCTGACCTCTGCAGCTAACCTTTTCTTCTGGAGATTAGACAGCAGGCTGAGAATGCCTTTGAACTTGAGAACAAAGACCAGCATGCAATTTGCATTGGTGTGCTGGTGCTGTGCATAATAAATTGCTTAAAAATTACAGAAGGATAAGATTTTAGGTATAATTTATTTATAAATGGTAAGGATGTTTCCAGCCCTGCTGAAGTTCCTTGTAGGATTTTCATCAGAAAACAAAGTTTCTATGTTTTCTCCCTTCTCCGTGACCGAGCAGCCACCATTGACATGATGATCACATATCTATTCCCCTTACCCCTGCCCACTGCCCTGAGTTCCGGATCCATACATCCAACCACCTCCCAGGTATTTCCATTTGGCTGGATCTCCAGCAACTCCAGTTAAGCTTGGTCACTGGGACTCCAGAACTTGCAGAACTCTGCATATTTTGTGTCTTTGCAGATGCTGTTTCCTCTGGCCCCATCATTTTTTACTTCACCAATGCCTACTTTTTTCCCAAGACTCAACCTAAGAATAGTCTCCTTTAGAAAGTTCCTCTTGATTCTACCTAAATTGGACTTACTTCCTACCCTAGATTAATCTGCAGCATCACACACTAGCCCATACTATTTGCTGAATGAAAGAATGAGAGTAAACTCTCAGTCGGGCATAAAATAAACTCTTATTCTGGTGTTGAGTGTGTTTAGGATCCCTATTAATTAGAGAGATGTTAGGTTCTTCAAACTCAGCATAGGTTAAAGGGCATTAGGGCAATGCTTAAACCCTGCATTCTGGGAGGGGGTCTGTCCCACTCAGTTTGAGCCAAGGTTCAGGGCAGTTCTGTTTAGCTCTACTTGCATCAGGCCCTGATGTCAGCCTGGGCTAGGCATTAGACATGATTGTAGATACTGGGGGATATTTTCCTTTCCCTGGCCTGAAGGCCCCAGTTTAGGAGAAGCCACCAAGACTTTTTTTCTGAGTCTGGGATTTGGATTCAGACAAAACCTAAGTACTAATCCAGTCTCTATCACCTCCCGGCAACAATCTTGAGCAAGTTATTTAGCTCTGAGCTTCACTTTTGTTATTGGTCAAATGGAAACAAGAGCATCTAGACACCAGGATTCTTTTGAGGATTACAATATAAGTTAATTCATAGTTAAATACATAGCACCTAAGAATACATAACCCACTCATGCTTTTCTAATGCACATTAATTGGAAAGAATTATTTCCTAGGGGAAGTGCTAGATACTGGTCAAAGCTGATTCTGAGTATCAAGATAACTTATCATATTAAGCATATCTGATTGGTTGCTGGAAGCAGTGCAGGAAGCTGTAGCTACAGGAACAGGTCAGAGACCCTGGGGTGAGAAACAGACTCAGTGAAAAGTGTGTCCATGGTGGAGGAGAGCCTTAGGAAATGCCTACATGTCCAAGACCATATTTGAAATGAAAAAAAGACAAGAGGTGGTCAGTATTGCTTTCCTTTATCAATTCTCCCTTGTCTCCCCCGTTATCTGCATAGACATTTCTGTGAAGCCTCTGAACACAGTTTTTTCTTAATATTTATTTTTTAGTTGTAGTTGGATGCAAAACCTTTATTTTATTTATTTTTATGTGGTGCTGAGGATTGAACCCAGGGCCTTGCCTCTGCAGTAGGCAAGTGCTCTACTGCTGAGCCACAACCCCAGTCCCTAACACAAGGATTTTGATCACTGGAGTTTTCAGAAACTTCTATCAATTCTGGCTAAAGAAGCCACTGCAAACTTGCTAGGTGGTTTCTTTTGGTGCTGGGGATGGAACCCAGGGCATTGAGCATACCTCTGAGCTATACCTTAGCCCCAGCCCCAGCCAGATGATTTCTTACCTTCAGCTCAGCCATTTCCCTTCTGCTTTAAGTGTGATGACTTGGAGAAATCCAGATCCAGGGAGAGTGTGCAGTCAAATGCTTCTTACCACCTTCCAGATGTTCTTGTTCCCACTAATACACTGTGCCTCATTGGTCAGCAGGTCTCTCAAGGGAGCCAGAAGAATTGCTTAACCATTGAATATATTAGGGAGAAAGTCCAGCAATCTTTTACCTAAATGTCTTGCACAACTGTTTTGTTTTTCTTTGCAGTGCTGGCGGTCAAACCCAGGGTGTCACACTTGCTAGGCAAGCATTCTGCCACTGAACTACATCCCCAACCATGCTTTTGGTTTTTTATTAAACACAGACTATTTCTGAAAGAGTTTGCAAAAGCATTGTTCCTCTTTACCTGACATAAATATTGGCTAATTAATTATTTGTTTCACTTGAAAGAAGAAGACTTAGTACAAAAGGCAGAGAATTTAAAGCTATCTGGAAAAGGAAATGTGGGAGTTAGTGCCTGCTGATGATGGTAGTGGATTCTCTATTCAGTCCTGCCTCAGGCCAGGAAGGGATAGGGCAGATGCTCATTTCCCCAGAGAAGAGTGAGAAAATGAACTGTGCTCTCTTCCAGGTATTTCCACAGAACTTATTGAAGATAGGGCCTGAGCCCAAGAGTCTAGGCCTCTGCAGTTGCCTGGCAGGAATGAGCTCAGGTTTCTGGGTAAACTATTCAGAGCCTGAGCACTTTATTCAAAGCAAACTGAAATGTTTTCTACTATTTTTCTTAATTTCTTCAAATATATTTAGTTAATATATTTCTTATAAATTCTTTAGTAAATGTGTTCCCTAATGCCTTTCCCCCTCTAAAACCAGACAGGGGGATTACTCTCTAGCCATTTCTCCAAGGACTCCCTTGTCCTCCATCTTGGCATCTCTCCTCAGTCACCAGAAGGTAGTGACTTCATGGCTAGTGATATTCAGGAAGGAAGCAAATGTACCTCAAGTGCTTGCTTGTGCCAAGTTTTTCTACAGATACTACCTCATTTAATTTCACAAAAACAATTTTGTAAGGTAGGCTTTATTATCACATACTCAAATGCAACAGGCCAGGTAGAAAATGTAAATGAGTAAAGCAGGCTAAGTGATTTTTTTGAGATAAGATGTAGCTACAATTTTTAAACATTGGCAAAAGGAAGGAAACATTAAGTTAAAACTTTTGAGTCTAAGAGGTATTTGAAAATTTAGGTTTATTAGCTGTGCAGATGCTCCTCCCATTAAGAGATGAAATATTTTTCTTAGCAAACATGATACAAAGAAAAGAAAAATGCTTATGTCTTAGGACTTATTCATTTTTTGCAGCCTGAGACTAATATGCAAATAAGCAGGACTATTAGCTTCCAGAGGTCCAGGCATCAGCCACGGTAACTGCCAAATGTGTGAAGGAGGCAATTGACTGTCAGGTGACTGCAGATGCATGAGTGATCCCAGATGAACTCAATAGAGACAAACCATCAGTTAAACCCAGCCCAAACTGCTGCCCTACAGAACTGTGAGCAAATAGAATGGTGTTATTGAATGCTATTAAGTTTTGGGGTTGGTTGTTAAGTGGTGATAGATAAAGGATTTATTTATGCAGTCAAAAACATATAAAGGCAGCCAGACACAGTGATGCAAACCGATAATCCCAGGAGCTCAGGAAGCTGAGGCAGGAAGATTGCAAGTTCAAAGCCAGCCTCAGCAACTTAGTGAGACCCTAAGCAACTCAGTGAGACCCTGTCTCTAAATAAAATACAAATAAGGGCTGGGGATGTGACTCAGTGGTTAAGTGCCATTGAGTTCAATCCCTGGTAAAAAAAAAAAAAAAAAAAAAAAAAAACAACCAAACAATAAACATATAAAGGCCTGAAATGTCTGGAGGTTGCCCGTTTGATACCTTCTCCCTAGACATCTAGGTCTAAGCACCCTCCAGAGGTCCCTGGGCTACAGCATATGCAGCAGCAGCAAAATAAGTTGTGTGAGGTGTTCACACAGAAAGAGCCAGACAAAAGGGAAACAAGTGATGTGTTAGTGACAAACTGAATTGATGCCTGCAGAGCGGGCAGCTTACAGGACATCTCAGCATGTCAGCATAGACAGATAATATTGTGGTATTCTTTATATAAGCTTCTGTGGAATTTATGTGCAAACCAGGAAGAAGGGGGTAGAGACCCCTGCTTTACTGAGGGTAAGTTTTCACTATTTGCGAAAGATTTAAACTCAAAATAGAAAGTAAATTAGAGGAAGATATCTCTTGCATATATGAGTTATGAGTACCTTGGACCTTGAATCTCTATTATCTTGGAAATTACCTTTGGGGGTTAAAAAAAAAAAGCTTTAGTGCTTTATTTTTCCATAAACTTTCTGTGCTTTCTACTGAACCAGTTTTGATGGCAGATTTTAAAGGTGTTTCAGATCTTCTTTAGGAGTGGGAGATTTCTGAAGGAGTCAGAAATCTGATCATTGTATGAAAAAAACTTTGAGGGACCTGAAAATATTTAAAATTTAATTAACTTATCCCCAGACTTTAGGGATTCCTCCTAGGTAAGTTAACTTTATTTCCTGTCCTTTTCTATTTTTGTTACAGCAATTAAATGAAAGAAGCATTTGCTTCATAACTACTATATTCGAGGCACTGTGCTATATACACCCAATGGATGTGAGATTAAATAAAATAGGTACAGATAGTTCTGATTCTATAATGGGTTTCTATTTGAATTAATATAATCACACATACCATTACAGACTGCAGTAAGTACTGTAATAGTGAAGAGTCCAGGATGTTAAGGGAGGTATCAGGGAGCACAGCCCAGACCAGCAGGGTCAGGGAAGGCTTCTTGGAGGAGGTGATGTCTGAGCCACATCACACAGAATGGGAGTTGGACAGAAAGGGCATTGAACAGGGGGAAGAAAAATGTGTACAAAGATAGAAAAGCAGAAGTGCAGTGTGTTCACTGAACTGTGTTAAGGGCCCTCTGACTAAAATTAGAAGAGTGGAGGGATCTAGTCAGAAAGGCTTCTGGGAAGGGAAAAAGTTTTGGCAGACATTTAAGGCAGGAAAAATAGAGATGAGTCAAGAGATGACCTTCTGGATGGGGTGATCAGCCTTCAAAAAAGGCATCAGGGTAGGAGTAGGTTGTATGGAGTTAACTGAAAAGCATATTGGACCCAAGCAGAGTCACAGTATCAAAGTAATGAGCAACAACAACAAAGCTGCTAAAATCCAGGCATAGGAGGATGAATTTGGTGAACCAATGCGGGGACATGTGGGGCAGAGAACCTGAAAAGCAGCAGGAATTGGAGACAGCAGACAGCTCTCTCAGCTTAAATGCAAGATAGGAGGTTAATTCTGCAGAAACTCTGAAAAAAAAAAAAGTTCAAACTCACAAAGACCAGGGAGTTGGGGGCAGGATAGCACCAAACAAGTGTAATAAGCAGTGATGAGACCTCCAGCCTGCTTAGTGCTCAGGAGGCTGGGCCAAAAGAATGACTTGAGCCCAGGAGTTTGGGACCAGCCTGGACAACACAGAGAAACCTTGACTCAAAACCAAAACCAAACACCTCCAACCTCCTTTGCCCACTGTATTTCCAGAATGCTATCAGCAAGTATTTTATTCTCCAGATGTGAGTCTGGAAGATTTGTCTTTAGGACAGCGACTTGGAAATACTATACAATTGAATAAATATTATTAAATATAAAATGAAAATTTTCTGGAGACACTTTTTTTAATGAAGTGAATGTTCCTCTCTTTTAACTCACATATCTATAAATGAACAATTATTTCTAAAGGGAAATGAGAATTCAGTATTATTCAGAATTCAATATCATTTCATCCAATTCTTTGTGGTTTTACATATGTAAATGTTGAGAAAATTTGTTCACATAAATAAGAAGGTATGAATGTTAGAGATTTTGTGATGGCTTCACTTCTCAATTAAACATCAAAAATCATAGTAATTTATCATTAAATATTATTTTAAATGATCTACTATCAACAACTCAATTAGGTTATTCTTTAATTGCATTGGAAGCAAGTAATTGGAAATCTGACTGGAAAGACTATTACTCAGCTATTGGAACCATTTACTTTAAATACTACACTTTCACTTAGAGGTACTTTGTCTAACTCATTTATTCAGAAGGGGCTGGGGAAATAAAAATGTTAATTTAATAGATCTTTTTAATGTAATATTTTTGATATTTTTTGACATTTTTATAGACTAAGGATTGCTATGGAAGAATGTGTCACAGCCTTGGCTATTTCTTATCAAAATTTTCCTCTTTGCTTGGAGAAATTATAAAAAAATTATGGGGAGTGGGACAGGTAAAGTCCTTAAATCAAAAAAATATTTAGGACTGTCCTATTGTTGGTATCTTGAAGACATTTGCAACCTGGGCAATATATTGTTGTACTATCGACAAAGATATATACAAATGGAAATTGATTATCTGGAAAATGATCTCCTTAAAACTATCTGTGGCTTATATACCCCTCAAAATGGATACTTGCATCTATCCCAATTTGAAGGCCAGTGACTCACACCGAGAAAATGGAAAACATACCCAAGAAGTTAGGGGATTCTTAGAGGGTAATGAGAGTAGGATCACAGAGCATTCCCTCTAGGATAAAGTTAGACAACAGAGAACTGCAGAACAGCTGCAAATAAAAGATGGGTCTCAGTGAGGTTTTGCATCTTGACTGGGGTTTAGAAGTTCTGTTCTTCACAATTACTTATTGATAGCCTTGGTAAAGTTTAGTGGTTGGACAACTGAGAAAAAAAGAGAGGTGGCTTATTTAAGATGATAAGGCACTGATTAGAAGGTACCTGGATTAGAAAGAAACACGTAGCGACAACAAAAATAGTAGTATATCAAAGGCCAACTCTTCCTGTTTGGCCAATAGGTGATGTGATCTCACATTCATCTTAGTATGCGTGACCTTAAGAGGGAAGAAACAGATCAGTTCCTTAAGGTGAGATCATGTAGCAGCAAAGATGAACTTTGATGAACTCTTTTATAACGGTGCTCATAAAAGTAGAATCTACAGTCTACGCATGTTCTTCTTTTTGATGTGTTCTGAAAGCCTGGATTTTGACTACCTGCATCAGAATCACCTGGTTTGTCAAGTTAAAAATA